CTCGGGGAGCGCCGCCCGCCCCCGCCGAGCGGCCCCCGAAGCCCCCGCGGGGCGGGGGCGCGACGGCCCCGCCGTCACATCTTCCCTGTCACCTCGCACCGGTGCGGAGCCGGCACCGCTCAACCCCTGGCAGCACCCCCGCACCCTCGGGGACGTGACATAACGCCGGGGGTCCCCTGGGTGTTTGCCGGGGCGATGCTTTCTCTGTCTCTTGTTGTTATTTTTCTTTCCCCCCGAGGATGAGCGCGCTGCCTGCCTCTGCCTTTGAATGGCTCTTAAAATACATGTGAGGAAACCTGTTGTGACGCCGCGCGCTCCGCCGACTAAAAATAGCAGCTTTTGTAGTACGGAGGGAGCCGGGGCGCAGCCGGGGCCGGGCAGCGTGGCCGCGGCGGTGGCCGGGCGTGGTGGCGGCTTCGTGATCCGCCGTCCGCCCGGGGTTATCGGGCAGGAGCAGCCGCCACCGGGAAACGCCAGGCGGGCGCGTCGCTGCCCGCCGGATGGGCTGGGGGTCAGGGCCGCGGCGGGTGGGGGGCTTATCTCTGCTGAGCACAGCTGCTGGTTGGGTCGAAAGAGGGAGAGGTGCGTGGTTGTGTTCGGGCTGGTCCCGGAGCCTGTGGGGAGGGAGGGATGCGTGTGCATGGGGCCGCCCTGGAAACGGGGTGCTCCGCGTTCGCCCGGGGACTGGCGGTGGGAGGAGAGGGGACGGTGACATTCCGGGAGCGGGCACTGCCGCGTGACTGTCTGGTGGGTGCGGGACGCTTTGGGGATTTAATCAGAAGTGAGGAGGTGGGTGGGGGGAACCTCTTCAGCCTCCCCGTGACGGCAGCGGCATAAGGTGGGGAAACATCCAGGCCACGAGCGACAGGAACTGAGATCTCCAAACTCACAGTGTGTCAGGGTCTGCTTCCTTCCTCCTCCTCTTCCTCGGGCTGAGAGCCCGCTCCCCTCCCTCGTGGGTTCCTCCGTGGAGGATTTATTTTACAGATTCTGCTGAAAGCAGGCCATGAGGTCTCAAATTAGGAACGAGCCCCCTTTGGGCAAAGTTGTTACAGAAAAGGGAAAGGCCTCCATTTTCGCTTTCACCTGGCCGCCCCCTCCTTTGCCAGCGTGCCTAAAGCTGAGCTGGGGCTGCGGAAGGTGGAGGGAGCCAGTGAGAGCAAAGTGTTTCCCTGAAAAGCTGCACGCCTTTTTCTTGCACTTTCAGTTTTTGTAAGCCCTGTGGCGGACGCAGCCCAGCGCCCCGGCCCAGCGCGTCGCGCCGTGCCTGCTCTCGGGGTTTTAGCAGCGAATGAGTTTACCTGCTGTTTTTTTCTCACTGATGAAAGGAGCCTACGTCCCTCCGCTTTTTCCCCCCTCTCCTTCCGTGTGTGTCCGCGGTGCTGCCTGCGGAGAACCCTTCCTCAAGCCTTCCTCGTGCAGTCACTTCCTCGGGCTGACGGACGCTGTTGCTGCCCAATGGCAGCGCGCAGGGCCCCGCGGGCAGCTCCGCTCCCGCCCGCCGGGGCTGCCGGACCCGCGGCTGCCCGCGAACAGCCCCGGGCCGCTTGCCGCAAGGTTGGGCACACGGTGACTCTCGCCGTCAGGACACCCTGCCCGCTTCTGCGGGCTCTGAGCTTGACAGGGCTTTGAGCCCCGTTAAATCTTCCCGGCTGTATTATGCCAGGTTCTTGCCTTGCTTCACAACTGTTTCTGAACCAGAGGCAGAAATTTGTTGCCTTTTTTTTTTTTTTTCTTCTTCCCTGCTTGCCTGTCAAGGACAGCGTGCTTTGTCATGTTTTATGTCATTTCTGCGCCGTCGCCCTTCTCAGCAATCTGTTGCGGCATGGAGTTCAGTACTGCTGTGTGCCTCCTGAAAGGGAAAAATACAGATCAGCTTGATACCCTCTGATTTCCATCAGCATTGGAAGATGATTAATGGCATGGAATGTGCTGCAGGACTTGGTATTGAAAATCTCTAGCTGTGTGAGATGTTTGGGAAGCGAAGAAAGGACAGCTGGGAGCGCTGGCCCCTGCAGCAGTTGGGGTTTGTGGGATAAGCTTGCTTGCTGATCATTTTTGTAAACATCCAGCTGTGAAATACTTGAGTGGTGCTAGCACTTTCAATTATCAGGAAGTTTCAGGCTCAGCACCCTGTAGAGATGAACAGGCAGTTTCCACTTCTGTCTCAGCTATTGTTTGAAGCTATCTTCAAACTTGGGCAGAGAGTCTTCCAAGCATGAAGCAAGCACAAGTGATGCAGTGCTCTGTGACCATCAGCACAAGGGCTGGGGGAAGGCAGTAATGAGAGCAATTACCCTGGCACTGTGCTCCTGAGTGGAGGGACAGACTGCATAGTGGATCCCACTGCTTTTCAGTATTGCAAGACGCCAAATAGCGATGCTACTATGTTCCATTATTAGCAGTTAGTGAAGATCTCTGACTTGATGGCTGGCACTTGGGGTCAGGAGCAGCAAAGTTAGGAATCCCAACCCCAGCTCTGCCCCAGGGTCCAGCTGTGCGTCCGAGCAAGTTATTTGTTACTTGGTGGCTCAGCTTGTCCGGCTGGGAAGCTGCATCTCTGGGCTGGTGATGCTGAGGTGTAATTCCAGTATGTCTCTGTCACCGCGTTTTACAAGCACGTGATGGAAAAAGTGCTGTAAGCTTGTCAGTGCCAGGGCTGGATGTCACATACCTTTCCCCTTCAGCCTCCTCCATGAAGTTTCAGAGGTGGCACACAGGCGTACCCGCCTGGTACTCCATATCCCTGCTCCCTAACCACAGGCTCTCTGCAGCTTCTGACTAGGTTGTTTACCAAACCACTGAAGACTGTCTGATCCGTGTCCAGGCTTCCCCAGAGAGCGCCTCAGAGAGCTGTGTCCTGGCAGCTCTCAAATGTGCTCTGAAGGTTCCTGAATCTCCTCTTTGCTGCTGTATGCTGGTTCCGATCCATAAGGGAAATGGAAAGCTGGCCAGCTGGGCGAGGGCTGCGTGGAGCTCCTCTAGAACAGTAAACAGTGACTCACCCCCTCCTTGTGTCTTCTCTCTCTTCATGTCAAATATATTGCCTCGCATATGCTTCTCTACTCTCTGATTCACACCACCAGCCCATCCCTCCCCGCTCTCATTACAAATGAGTGACAAGTGTCAGTCTGCCTTACAGGATGTGTGAAGCTTGTCAGAGCAGGAGAACGGCTTTTTGAATGATGGGGAGAGGGATGGTGCTCTGCCTACCATGCTGCAATGTGCTGGAAATCCGTGTCGTGCCTCCGAGCGGCAGAGGCACGGCGATGAGGATTTAAGCATCTGTAGTTGCCTTCACCTGTCAGCTCAGATGTTACCCGTGGTAGGCACATCCGTTTGGCTGGCGCTCTGGAGCTGGGAACAACTTGCGGATAAACGAGAAATTTAAACAGCTGCCTAGGAATTAAATGGCTGCGTTCGGGAATGAGTAGAGTATTCCCTGCGTAGCTGTCGGTGCCGAATTGAGACGTGATGGCACAGATCCCTGTTGCCACTTGAACCTTGCACTGTTTTTCTGCCCTCGGGAAGTCGTCGCTGGCCTGGCGGAAGGTGAGGGTTGCATGTTTTCAGTTTGCTGTATGTGTGTGAGGATGGAAGCTAAACACCAGCAGAGCTGTCTGCCAGGCACTCATGTTGTGGCCAGGGTTGTCTTTCAGCGTACAAAGAGTTTCAAAATTCAAGTTCATCTGCAGTTGTCGGATGTCGGCAGTGATTTTATAGTAATTCCTTAATGTGTAATGCGCTTGGAAAGCCCTGTAGCGTGGAAAGTCTGAAATCTCACTCTGGCATGTTTTCTTTATTAATTGCAAGCCTTGTGTGGAAAGCTCTGTCCTGCCTCTGCCTGAGTCAGGCTTTCTGCTGCCTTTCCCTTTCAAAGTGAAGGAACTGGGATCTCTAGATGCTCTCAGCTGAGACTGCCAGGCTTAGGATGTCAGCTGGAGACTTCCAGGTTTTTGGGAGGATGCTGCAGGATGCATAGGAGCTGTCTGAGAGAGGGAGAGGGCGTTGGCAAGGCTGTCAATGGGTAACTTTATTGCAGAATTACAAGGGCTCTTTATGTAACCCACAGTCAAAACACTTGCTGTAAATATGAGCGTGGAGCTGCTCTGGAAAAGCTTTTTCCCCTCACAGTTGGTGTAATACTACTTGCTGCTTTATTGATGTGGCGTTCGAAGTGTGTCGTACTGCTTACAGAGCAGGGATGTAGTGTGGTCCTCATTCCAAAAAGCTGAGCTCCTAATTTTAGATGTGATGCAGCAAATGCAATTAAGGAAAGAAGGGCAGGAGTAGGGTAAAGACTAAAAGGGTTCTAATAATCAAATCGCAGGCGGGGTCCCAGAAGATCCCTGTGCAGCATGTTTAGGGAACACTGCTGGGTATTACTTGTTTGCAGAGTGGTTTATGATTTCATTGCAGGGTTTTGCTTTGTAAGTTTGGGAGATGACATGCTGATTTTTAGTGTCTTCTTGCTGGTAGCTGTAGTCCCAAATAATCCTGACGGGAAGGATTTGGTAGATGAGGAGATGAGGCCCAAAGCCCAGGAGGACTGCTGGTGAGGATTGCAAGAGTTGTTGTATCAGTTTCAAGTGAAGCCCGGACCGCACCTGTGCCTTCACCTAGTGCAGAGATAAGACTCTCCCTGGCACTCATATCTGAGTGTCAGACTTGAGCCTGTTTGAGTGTTTCTACTTGCTGTATAAAATCTTGCCCTTTGGGTTAGGCCAACCCACAGTCTCCCACCCTTGTTTCAAGAGGGTCTGGCATCACAATTCCTGATGGTGCCTTGAACCTTCTCGTTAATCTGTGTCAGCAGCAGCTCTGGCCCATGTCCCCTGGCACAGTAGGGTGGATCCCAGCCTATCTCTGAGTGATGCTGGCCCATCCAGGGTGCTTTGGTGTGTGTGGGGAGACAGGTGTGCAGCAGAATATGCTGAGCCGAGCGCCTGTGCTGTCCGCTGAGGAATGTGCAGGGTAAAGAGCTGTTGCTTTGGTGACATGGAGCAACAGGTGACGAGAAGGGTTTCATCACTCAGAGCTGGAGCATTGCTCGGGGTGGCAGGTGAGCCCTCACGCTGACCCCCACTGGAGGCAACCTCACCCCTCGGCTCTGGTTTTCCATGATACTTTACATTTCTTTCCATCTCCGCGCAGCCAAGTGGCCGCGTTCAGTTTTTCCATCGGCTGGCGCAGAAAACGCTTTGAAGACGCGCTGGGTGAGGATCAAAAGGCTTTTTGTGCACTTGGTGGGTGTGACGGGGCTGTCGTTGGCCTCCCCCTCCTTTTTGCCTTTCCTTTTCCGGCGTTCGCAGCGCGGCGAGCGGCCAGCGCGCCCAGCGCGCCCCTTCCCTTGTAGGGACGGGGGCGGCGAGGGAGGGGGGATGCCGCCGAGGGAAGGAAGAGTTTCTGATGCTGTGGGAATGTGAGCTCTCAAACTCTGTAAACAGCTGGTGACTCACTGCATAACTATGGCACCAACTGCCTGCGGCCCGGCTGCGCCTCTGCAGGGAGGGGGCTGCCGGCCCTTTCCTCTACGCACTGGCAGCGCCTCTGCGCTCCTCAACTCCGAGACCTGTTGGCCAAGACAAGGAGCTTTTTCCTTCCCCCCAGCTGCCCCTGCCTGCGTCTGCACCTCTGTCCGGGAGGTAGGGGTGGGCAGTGAATGCCTGGTGCGGAGGGGAAGCGATGGACGGTGAAAGGGCAGTGCTGGGGTCTGAAGAGGTGCCCGTGCTCGCAGGAGATCGCGCTCTGAAGAGTACGCAGACAGAGGCTGGGCACATCCCCGTCTGTCGGAGGCAGCTGAGCGGGGCTGGGACTTGTCCCCCCATGCCCTGCCCACTCGTGCTGTCCTGGCGAGACAAGGGGCTGTGGCTGGAGGTGTGCCCGGGGTGGGGCTCAGTGCTGGAGGAGAGCAGGGAAGGACTCGCTGATGCTCTAGAAAATGCAGCGCACACCAGTTGCTGTAAGTGGTCCATTCATCACGGAGCATCTTGGCTTGTGTGCTGTGCGGCTGTCCTTGTCCCTCCTCCAGACATGGAGAGCTGTGCTGTCTCGGGCTTAAAAATAGAGGAGGCGCCTAAATACACTCCCTAATATCTAGGATAGTATCTTGCAGCTCTGCAATTACAGGATTATTTTTTTTCTCCTCCTGCTCTTCATCTTGATTTTTATGTAAGTCGTGTGATGATGAGGTGCCTTGACTGATAAAATTCAAGTGACAGCAGCACGGGCTGAGCCAGCACCTTCACCCACCCAGCTCCCACTGGTCCCCACACCCCACCTCTGCACCCCCCCAAATCCCTCCACCCCTGTTTGCAGATATGAATGAGTTTGTTTACTCTCTGACGACCTCGTGATGTCTTTGCACAGACATGACCTGAAGTCATTATTGCTTTTGGGCTTCTCTGTTTCCATGGTGACTGTCTCCGGGTTGGCTACTTTCCCAAGGTCACCATGGCAACTATCAGAAGGGAATCATGCTTGGGATGCTTTGGCTGGATTTTTCATGAATGATTAGGATGTGTGACACGATGCAGACGTGGAAATGGGGAGGGTTTGGGCTGGGCTGGAGAAGGTGGGGGGAGAGAGGACTCCCGCCAGACAGGCAGCGCTCTGCGGTACCGCGGGTGTGCAGCCCTCGAAGCCGCCCTGTGTCGGGGGCACCGGCGCCTCACCCCTCCCCACTGGGGAGCCATAGCAGAGGCTGTGATGGTGGCACGGCTGCCGGTGCCTCTCCCAGGGTAGGTACCATGGGACCGTCGCGCTGCCGTCACCACGGGGTGACGGAGTTGGGTGGAGGTGCGGGCAGGTGCATTTTCTGCCAGCCGCTGGCTAAGGTGAGAGCGAAGGGCAGTGTCGCGGCAGGGGACGGGCTGGCTGTCGATGGACATGACTCCACATCACTAGAAATAGCAAGAAGGTCTGCTCTCAAAGTCTGGGGCTGGAAGATTGGGAAGCAAGTCTTGGTGTGTTGGGAGAGGTGAACTCCTTCCTGGCTTTGTTGTTGGGGGCTTTTGTTTCTGTTGTTTGGGTTTTCTGGTAGCGTCTCCTTTGGGTGGGGACAGCGCTGGAAGCAGGTTACAAACCAGGCAGCTTCTCTCTGGCTTGCTGGCTCAATTTCGAGCCAGGCTAATAATCATCAAAATGAGAATGAAGGGAGTTGTTGTCTTGTGGCTTTTCAGTGCCTTTTATGAGCAGAGGTAACTCTTAATTCAGTCCCTAATAGGCCATTTGGAGCGTCTGGGATGCCTCCAGAGGGAGGTGAGCCAGTGACAGGGCCTTGGAGGCTATGCTCCATTCTCCCCTTGGGAAGGGGTGGCACAAGGCAAGGTGGTGTGTGATGCTTAGTGTGACTCTTGTTTACAGATGAACGTGGGTGTCCTTCTTTGCTCCCTGCCCTATCTTCTGTGCTGGATCTTAGTGTGGTTAACAGCAAAATATGAGATCTTGGTGTTAAAAAGCAAAGCACTTGTCAACACAAATTTCTCTTTGTCTTATCTGAATAGGGTAAATGATATCTGAATCCATCCCATTTCAAACAGCTGTATTCTTATTTCTTTTAATGGTGGTTGATTTAGGGGTTTGGGCTGTGTGCTGTGTATCTTCTTCCTGCCCTCCAAGATTAACCTGGAAACCTTGTTTTGTTTTTTCAGTTGCAATTTCTGAGCAGTTTTGTCCGGAAGACTGTGCTCAGGTTATGACGACTAATCCCAAACCGAACAAGGCATTAAAGGTAGGGAAAAGCTGAGTGGGTGGTGCTGGGTGGCTGGGGAGGCTGTCGCAGAGCTGTGCGATGTTGGTCATACGTGACTGTTCTTTTTCATTCCAAGAGACTCCTAGAAATGGGTGCTGATACAATTTCCCACTGTCTACAGCAAAGGTTAGGGTAGAAGAATACTGGCATTACCCAGAAAGAGGCCTGAAGTCTCTGGGGTGGCATGGAGGCTGGCATATCCCAGCAGCTATCCAAGAGAGTTCTGACTGTAGGAGGTATTGGCAGCATCCTGAAACCAGTGCTCCCAGTCTTGGCAATGAAGTACTTTTACTCTCAGGATGGGGAGGCACTGGGGAAGGTACTTTTTCAGCTGGTGTCTCCCAGATCCATGAGACAGTAAATGCCTTGGATGTACTGGCTTGATGGTGGTCTGTGCCTCGGCTGCTCATGCATTGCTGAAATTTCTTTCTAGTGTTTTGGCTCTTCATTCCATATGTCCTGCAGTTGCTGAAAAGATAAAATGATGGTGTCTTTAAAGTTCAGTGTTCAGTGATATTGAAGGTCTTTTTCAGCCTAAACAATTCTGTGACTCTGAAAATAATGGTGGTGGCAAATGTGCTTGGAAAGGAAAGGGCAAGGCCTTGGTGGTTTTCTCATGTAACTTCAGTTTCTACATGCTGTGCCCCAGCAAAACCAAATCAGGCTGTCCTTGAAGCTAAGCATGGTTGGTTTTCTTCAATGAAAAACCACAAAATGCTGAATTAAGCCCTGCACAGAAGCAGCTATTTTGCTTTAGAGATGCTGCACTGGTGTCCCAGTGTAATGCTAGGAAAAGGTGTCATCTTTAACATTCATTATGAATTCCAGGTCCTGACAAAGGACTTCACAAAAAAAGGCTTCAGCTGACTCTACATTTATCCCCTTGAAAATCTTGCTGTTGGGTTCTCATTGGGTATGCAAAGCTCACTGCTTTCTCTGACCTAAGAGGGCGACCCAAACCCAGACAACTACAGTGCTCAGATCTCTGCCATGTTTAACCCTGACGTTTTAGTGGAGCTTGTGCTCTCCACAGCACATCAGGGGTGTTTTCCAGGTAGGGATGTCACCGATGTTGCTGAGGGGTGGCCTTTTCTCCTTCTGCTGCCCAGAGCATCTGCTCACCTCGGGTTGCTGCTACCCCTGTGCTGTTGGTATTTGCAGGTAAAGGAGGAGTCAGGAGAGAATGCCCCAGTGCTGAGTGACGATGAACTCGTGTCAATGTCCGTACGGGAGCTGAACCAGCACCTGAGGGGTCTCACCAAGGAGGAGGTCATCCGTCTGAAGCAGCGGAGGCGCACGCTGAAGAACCGGGGCTACGCTGCCAGCTGCCGCATCAAGCGTGTGACTCAGAAAGAGGAGCTCGAGAGGCAGCGGGTTGAGCTGCAGCAAGAGGTGGAGAAGCTGGCCAGAGAAAACAGCAGCATGAAGCTAGAGCTGGATGCCTTGCGCTCCAAGTACGAAGCACTCCAGACCTTCGCTCGTACTGTGGCGCGAGGGCCTATTACCCCGACCAAAGTTGCCACCACCAGTGTCATCACCATCGTGAAATCAGCCGAAATCTCATCCAGTTCTGTGCCGTTTTCAGCAGCCTCCTAGTGCCCTCGGTGGGGGGAACTAGCAGCCTTTCAGAGGGGAGGGGATAAGGCTCTTATGCATTGTTCCGGAGTCCTTGGTCACGTCAAGAATTGGCATTTTAAGAAGTCTCTTCCAAAAGTGCAAAAAACAGAAGAAAATAAAAAAAGAAAAGAGAAAAACAAACAAACCCAAAGGGTTCCTACAAAAGGAACTTAACTGGCTGCTTCTGTCTGGACTCAGTGGCTCCATCAACCTCTCATGTCCAGGATTTGAGCTCTGTACGCAGTACAAATTGCAAGATCTGCTTCCTCCTTCCCTCTGCCTCCACAAACCCCTCTCAGCTGTGGGCAGCTTTCCAGCTGGGAGAAGATACCTGAGGAGCCTCCAGAGTCTTCGTGAATGATGCTCAAGAGCCAGGAAACATACGGACCGTAGAAATCATCATGTGAGATGAATGTATGGGAAAAAGAGTTTCTTTTAGTGGCCTCCTACTCCTTGTAAGAAGGGTCTCCCCTACCTCCCCCACTTCCATCTGATATTGTGAGGGCAGGAACATAGGCTTTTTGGGTTTGATTTAATCCTTCTAAGAGTGGATGGGAGTGGGAGGATGATGGAGATAAATGCTTGGGTCTGACCACACCCATTAAGAATAACCTTTTGTTTTCAATCCATGCTGTTAAAATATGGAAAAATATATATTTTACATATTTTAATATGCCCCATTACCTGTGTGGCCTGTAAAAAAACTACATTGCAGCCTCCTTTATTCCAAGCCCAAGTTTCCTGATAGCTCCTTCCCAAAGGTGTGCCTGTGAATTTGGTATATTTATGCAGTTTATTTCTTCCAAATGATCCGCAGTCTTGAAGTAGCAGCTTTTTTTTCCTGGGTTACCTGAAGCTGAAGGGAGGGAGGCACAGTAAATGCTGTGAAGAGCAGTGTGATGGGGAGAAGGGGAGATGAGGAGGAAAAATGCTGCACATATTACTGGTGGAGGCGGAATTGGCTGTGAGAGAAGGTGGGACAGTTCTGCTGGGATCAGCACTACGAGAAGGGGTTTTGCAGAGTGTTTTGGAAGGATGTTTTTAAAGCACTGAAGTGTAACTAGAGGGCAATAGCATTCAGCTAGGAGGAGAGAAGTTTAGAGTCTCATCTTTGAGAAAAGCATAGGTATGTTAGCAATGAGCATCCTTAGCTGGAGAGCTGTGCTCACCAGTCCTTGGTGATCAGAGAAGGGCTATGGGGAGGTCAGATGGGAGCTTGGAAGTCTTTCCCTCTCCGTAGCACATCAGATGCTGAATTTGGGATCCAAAGAGTACAGTGAACAACCCTCAGTGTTCAGACAACCTGTGTGAATGTGACCCTGAAACTTGATGCTTTCTCTTGCTAGTGGATGAGTTATCCCGAGAGGCACACAGAGGGCAGGATGGAAAATCAATGTGTGTGAAGGGGACAGGAGAATTGGGATCGAGAAGTTGTTTGTTTGGCTCTGAGCAGTGGTTCAGGAGAGGGATTTCTGGCTTGGCAGCAAGCAGGATTTGGGAAGCTGAAAAAGAGACATTCTGCTGTCACACAGCAGTGATGAAACGATGAATGTTTCCAGGTCACTGTAAAAAAAAAAAAAAAAAATAGCTATGTTGCTGTTTGTGTGTTTTGTTGTTGTTTTTTTTTCTTCTTGAAGTAGGAAAAAAAAGGGACTGTGTGTTTTGTAGGGCAGGTCAGAGACTTGTGGAATGGACGATGCCTGTTGTCATGCAGGTGAGAAGAGAATGAGATTGTTGAGGCTTAAGTTGAGGAGAAGAGCTTAGAGGATTTGGGCTCCAGAACAGAAAACAAAGATCACGGAGAATTCATAAGTGGTTTTGACTGAAAGAGAATAATCAAGTGCTACCGTTGTTGGAAAGAGGACAGTGAACTGGCATCTGACACCCAGTATAATTTGTTGTTTGAGGCTTTGTCTTGCCTTGAATGGCAGTAAGTTGGTAGAAACTTAGTGAAGCCCTACTTGTCTTTGGAAGAAGTTGTTAGCTTGCTTTTTCTTTTTTTTTTTTCACCTTGTCATCGGAGTCTCTGGATTTCCCAAGAGGATCCTTTGTGAAATAGGTTAATGAAAAGAGAAACCTCAGACTTGGTTCTCATTCAGTCCCCAACATCGACATCCGTGACCTTACTGAGCCAGAAAGGGTGTCAGTGAAATGCTTCCTGAAGGCTCGTTCCCCCTGCCAGATCCACGTGTTTTGGAAGGGAGCAGGGAGTTTCCTTCAAGTGATTTTCCAACAAGTAGAGTTTGGATGACACTTAGTGTTACCTCATTTCTCCTCCATTCCCTCCCTATCTCCAAACAGGCAGATCAATGTCCTGTGTATCAGTACCAGTTATTGACTCCCACAGCAGAAGCTGAGGAAGAGAAAGATGTTATGGTCATTTCCTGGTCCTCTCATGTTCTCCAGCTCACAGACATTGGACACTTTCCCAGACCTTACAGGTGCCTCCAAAAACAGGCAAAATGGAGACTCCTGGCACTGTTGGGGCTTTAAATGAAAACTTTAATGAAAAAGGCCAGTTGACTTGAAAATGCCCAAATGCTTCCAGTCTTTAAAACAGCTCCAGAGCTCCGTAACATTCCTGGCTAGATAGGAACACCCTCTGGCTGCCCTTGACACCCCTCCGGGGAAATCGGACCTGTCTCACTGAAGGGGACGGAGGTCGAACTTTGTTCCTGGGGTCTTCTTGCTGTTGGAATGAGTTGAGAAACATATCTTTATGTGGCACTTCCCTTGTGGCCAAGTATTTCTTTTTTTTCCAGTTCTTGGAAGGGTGCCAAAGGCTTGTCCAAGTGATTGCTAGTTTAGTGCTGGTAGGCACTTAAATCTCTGGTCACTCGATAAAGAACAAGAGGCCTGGGTGTTGTTAAAGCTGTTGATACCATAGCCATGGTAGGTAATCCATATTGGATATCCATAAGGACCACGTGGAAATATTTAAAGAGAGAGAAATATATATATAAATATATAATTATATACATTTTATCGTACAGATTTTTCGTAAAAAAGAAAAAAAATAATTTTTTTTCCAAGTTTGATACTGTAAATCTTTATTAAAAGAAATTGCCAGTCCAGGGCTCCCTGGGTGGTGACCTGGAGGGGAATGAAATGTCCTGGCTAAACTTCCACAGAGGGATCAGAATTGCAAGGTAACGTGGAGGGAGGAATGACCCGAAAGCTGTTGATCGCGTTGGAGACCCAGCTCCTCCACCCTCCTCCCTGGAGGGCCCTCCAGCTTGGGGTTGTCGCGTTGCATTCCTCTGGGGTTCGGTTTGTTTCTGTTGTGTTTTATTGTTTTGTTTTGGTTTTTTTTTCTCTCCGTCCTGCACTTGCCAGCCTGACACCCAGGGCGAGCGCGGCGTGGGCAGCGGGCGGCGAGGGACACGTCCCCGCAGCCGCGTTGCCCGCGCATCTCTGCTGCAGTACTTTGGATGCCGGGGCTCCCTTCTCTGCCCCTCTTAGTTTGTCCCCCTGACCCTGCTGAGGAGGAGCGGGGGCTCTGATTTTTGGGTGCTGGGATCCTCTCCCCTGGGCCTCGCCTTTCTTTGGTTGCTCCCCATCCGCAGTGAGACGTGGGAACCGAGGGCTGGGCGGGAGGCAGGAGAAGAAAGCGTCGCGCAGGGACCGGGAAGGGACACCTCTGTTCTCGTAGACGTGTTTGCTGTGCTCTCTGTCGGGAGTGGGGAACCTTGCCCTCCAGGGCAGCTCCAGATCCCTCGGAAACAAGGCAGCGTCTCTACTCCTGCCCAACTCTAGCGTCTGCCGGGAGGAGACCGCAAAGTGCAGAGACCTGGGTGCCACGGCAGCTCCGGGACGGCAGGGAGGGACGAGGCGAGCTGTGCCACGGGATGGCTCAGACCCGGGGAGGAGGAGAAGGTGGCAGTTTTTTCTCTCTCGAATCATTTAAACTTCATTGTCATGATTGTTTTTATTTAAAAAAAAAAAAAAAAAAAAGAAAAAAGAAAAAAAGGAAAAAACAAAAAGAAAAAAAAAAGAAACAAAACAAAACCGAAAAACTTTTGTAATGTGGATTTGTTTTCCTTCGTCTGTATTTCAGTCTGCTGGGGTGTTTCTGTAGATGGTGGATACTTGCTTTCATTTTTTTAATGATAGAAGTCTTCTGTTTTAAGTTGTTTTTTATCACCAGCTCATTCTATCCTCTGTGGTTACTCAGTAATTTCATTTCAATATTTATTTTTGTGCTGCTTTTTTATTATAAAATAAATTATTGATATACCAAGCAATGTGGATTCCTGTTTGTAAGGCGAATAGCCCTGTGTATGTGTCCATTACTTCTCTTGACAGCCAGAACGTAATTTATTGCTGTAAATTTAGCTGCAGTGACTGGTTTTTTTGTACCTTTCCAATAAAGCATTTTCTGGTTTCAGACTTGCCCTGGTCTATGGTCAGCGTTTTGGAGCCTGAACTGATCTTCAGGGGAGTGTTTTCCTTGGGTTTTTTTGCTGCCTGTCCCCAGTGCAGCACTCAGCTGGCTGTGGCGCTGCGGTGAGCGATGTGTTTTTTGGAGGCAGGCTGGGCTAAGGCGAGTGGGATGGCAGCTTGGGCTTTTGAAATCATCTGACCCAGCCTCCTGGAGCCCATCTCAGCCTTGCTGTGGTGCTTTCTTGGGACGCTTGGAATGCGCTCCAGGGATAGCTCTTGTCCAAGCTGCATGTCAGGTCGATCCCGTGCTCAGCCCGCGTGTGTTCCTAACCCAGGGGCTCTGTCTTTGTGCACAGCCAGTGGGTGTCTGTGTTAGCACAAGCAGGACTGACAGCTCAGCAGGCACCTGCCTGCAGTCGTGATGCTGAGCAAAGCCAGTTGTGGCTCGGAGACACTGTGACCTGTCTTGAAGCACTGGAGAGAAACACTCCTCTCTCTTCCTTTGGGTTGTGAAATATCCCTTCACAGTTCCCCTGTGTGACTGCTTGTGAATAAACTGCTTTAACCCCATATATCAATACTTCATCTTTTTGCTTTTCCCTGGTGGGGCTTTTAAAGAGGTGGTACCTTGTGCCAATGAGCTTTCAGGGGTTGTGTTGGCTTTAGTTTCATATTTCAAGTGGTCGAGTTTCTTGAGGGAACAGCTGAAGGGGGTAAAACACTTGGCCTGTGTTGAGGCAGTGGGCTGGAGACAGATGGGTGTGTTGGCCAAAGCTGGAATTAAGAGGTAGGGCAAAGTGGAGAGGAGCAGGGCTGAAAGGCTTTGTGTGTCAGCAGGTAATGGATGGTCATTAGCTGGGGCCAGGCAGGCTTGGCTGAGCAAGTACCAGGGTAAAGCCTGGGGGTGATGGCAGTCTGTGCTGAGCAAAAAAAGCATTATCAGCTGCTTTGGCTCCTGCCTGGAGTCACTGCAGTGAGGAGCTTGTGACAATGGAGGGGACAGGGAGGTGGGCCAGTGTGACTCTTGGAGGGATGGAGGAGCATTGGTTCAGGAGGAAAAGGGCATCAGGAGTGGGTCAGGTGAAGGTTCAGAAGTGAAAGGAGTTCACCATGCATAGGGGAGGAGCATAAAAGGTCTGTGTGAACAGGTGGGGTAAAAGCACAAATCCTGCTCTCTGGTGCAGGTCTGGCACTCTGGTGCCTGTCAGCAGCTGGGCCCAGGGACTTGTTGGTGAGTGCTAGCACCCAAAAAAAGAAGTGTCTGCCTCTGACAGGGCGCTGTGCAGTGAGCAGCCGTGCGTGAGAGCTGCCTTTGCTGTGGTGCCAGCGGCTGCCTTCCTTCCCCTCTGCTCTTAGGGAGGTCAGCCTGAGCTCCTACAAATGTAGTGGCAGGGTCTGCCCTGTGCCGATCGTCCCTGACATGAGTGAGGTGTAAACCTGCCTGATCTAAGCCCAAAAAGCACCAGGAGATCCAACAGCTGCAGCTCAGCCTTGTCCTTGGGGAAATCCCGAGGACAAGTGACAACGGGAAAACAAATCTGCCGACCACCGGAGCCTGCTGCTGGCAGTGAGAGAAGCCTGTTCCTCCCAGGCTGCCTGCTGGCGTGGCTCCAGGCACAGCAGGCTCCTGTGTAGGTCACCCGTGCGCTCGCCGCCAGCTTTCCCCGTGTCCTTGTTGAGGAGGTGGAGGAGACGCGTTAGCAGAGACCGCGTCCAGCCTACACCACCGTTGGCGTTTCTATTCCCCATGGATGCCTTTTGACAGCCTGAGGGTTTGAGGGCTGTGACAGTGCCCAGCCTGAGCCGTCAGCTCTTGCCTCTCTCCCCTCTCCAAGAAAAAGGACGAGCAGGAGGCCCAGCTCGCACCGGCTGGAGCAGCGAGGGTGTCTGCTGTTGCCGTCGCGGCAGCCAGCTGGTGTCCAGCCCAGCACGGCTCCTTCAGGCTGGTATCACACTGCTGACTTGCATGAGTCACAGCTGACTTTTTTTTTTTTTCTTTCCCCCCCTTGTTTGGCTTGCAAGAAAGATCTGTTTTACATATAATACAGTAATCAGGGCTTGACATAAATAGGCAAATGTTATTGTCTGCAGTGGGAATTGCACCTGCTGGCAGAGCAATGGAGGCAGCCCATTATGCACCGGAGTCGATCATTTGTGCAATGAAGTACAACCACGGTTCTTGCTGTGTTCTTGTGCAAGTCTTTATCTCAGCGACTGTGAGTGCTCCAGCAGATGTGCCATCATCACCTTTGCAGTCTGTCCTCACCCCAGGAGCCAGAGCAGCCTCTGTTCCTGCAGCTGTGGCCATCCTCTCCCAGAGGGGTGAAGACCAAGATGTTCAGCTGAGATATCCCTGCTTTGGTGCTGGCTGCATTACAAAGCCAAGCAGCCTTGTCCCTGAGTACTGAGGCTGCACTTTCAATGCAGGACAGTGTTCTCCCAGGATGTGCAGGATCCTGGATGAATGTCTGGATGTGCAGAGCATCTGGCTCTTGTTTATGGAGCGTATTGCAGGAAAAGTGTCAGCAGTCTCACTGGCTGAGCAGGTATGAGCAGTGCTCCTCCAGACCAGAAGGACTTGCAGGACTGGCTGAACTATAGGTTGCTCATGTGGAATCTGAGCTATAGCATGGTAAGATTTCTCCAATAATAAAAATAAACAGAGCTAGTCTTGTTGGTGCTGGAGTCTGGGCTTAGTTTACCTAAACCAGATCCAGCACCTCTGAACCACTGCGTCCACAGCTTAGGTGAGGGTTGGAAGAGGTGCTGTGCAAGGAGAGGAAGCGGGAGACACGCACGTTCTTTGTGGAGTCAAAAAGATGAGCACAAATCCTGTAGGAATGCCAAAATGTGCAGGATGCTGCGTGTGCAGGTATTTCTGCTGGGCCAGCATTGAGGGGCAGGGAGGACGTTAAGCTTAAGAGCATCAGCATTATAGCAGGAACAGGCAGATCGTGGGCTTTGCTTGCTGAGCTCAGTGAAAATGCTTGCTTGCTCTGTGCTAGAAATTGCTGTTTATTAGAAAAAAAAATAAATAATTTTGTGTTGTGATTTACATTTTGCAGCTTAAGAGCAAGGGAAAAAAAAAGATCCAAATTCTACAAGTTACGTTTAAAAGGGCACCAAGCCTTATCCATCGGTTTGTTTGCCACATGACTGCAAATCTGAGGCTGTAGATTTGCCTTCATCCTTCCACTAGCTAGCTACCATCCCAGACAACAGCCCAACCAGTGCCTGAGTTCATTCCCAGGCATCATCTCATTAACAGGAGAATAGAAATTAGACTATTAATTGGGGGAGAAAGGAGAAGTCTTAACAGAAGGATGTGAGCTCGCCATCACTGATATGAGGAGCATCCCTCCATACATAGTCTTCCCTTGCCTGTGGTCTTGCCCCACGTGGCAACATCCCTTCGCACCTCTCTGTCCTCACCATGGTCACCCAGCTGGGCTCAGCTCCTGCTTGCCTTCCCACAGGTCAGGCAAAGCCCAGGGACGGGGAATAGTGAAGGGTTAGGAGGAACAGACAGTTCCCAGTAAGTGAATTCCTACCCCACCAGTCACAGTCTGGTTCTCTAATAAAGATTCTGATAAGGAAGCTGGAATCCCTTTTAACTTCTGATCCGTTCAGAGATAAGCTGGTTTAGACATAAACAAGCACTTCTGTCACCGGCAGCTCCCAGAAATGCAGCTGCAGACCTCTGGTTAGTCCCAGTGAGGTCCTGCCACACTCCCAGGGGAGTTACTTGGACAGCTGCATCCATATCTGGAGGGAGAAGAGGATGACTTACTCTTTCTCCATGGTAAAGGTCTTTTGCACATCTCTATAAGCTTTGCTGTGAGGAGAGGAGGAAAGATGTAAAAATAAGGAATGACGTCTTTCAACCTTTACCAGGTTTTCAGGTGAAGCGAAGTCACCTTCCTGGGCTGGTTTTCTCCACGGAGCCCTTGGAGATCATTTTTTACTCAAATTGGGAGAAACTAGAGCAGAACTGTGCTGAGAAAAGCATTTCTCTCAGGCCTCAGCACTGCTTGGAGGTAAGAGGAGGGCGAGGGCAGCTGGTCTCTCCTGCACCCCGGCTCCTCTCCCTGCCTGGCATCCCCCAGCATTGGCACAGGGCTGGCAGAGAGACAGCAGCAGTGGGGCAGCAAAGGCCAGGCTGCAACAGAGTCCAACACAGCTCCATCCATGACAACAGAAGCTGGCACTATTTGACTTAACCTTTTCTGGGTTATTGCATCTTCCCTTTGAGAGACTGGCTTTTTGGATAGAGTTCCTGGCTTCTCAGTACTCTGATTAGCCCAGGCTGTCTCAGCCTCAAGACACCTCCCCTTTGCATAGGTTAAAACCTCTTCAGTGTCAGTGTCTCTTTTGATACCTCCTACAGCTCCTCATCTGACAGGATTAGCATTCTCTTTTCAATGTTTTTGCTCTTCCTGCTGCTCTGTCCATCTATCTTGGAGGCCACATGCCCATTCTCCCCTGGCGCTTTGCGCTCTGCCTCCTGCATCGACTGCTGGGTGTAGTGCTGGTACGTGGGGGAGAAGTTGTGGATGGCATCCTGCACGATGTCCTGGGGGCTGATGGTCTCTTTCAGCCCACTCGAGATGCTCTGCATTGGGGCAAGGTTTGCTGCAAAACAGGAGAGCAGGAGTGTGATGGGATAGCATCAATCCAAGTGATCCAAGAGAGTTTTCGTTAGAAATTCAAGATCAGTGGCTCATTGTGGGCCACGTCAGTTTGCGGTTCCAAGTTCCAAAGAGAAGGAAGGCAATCCCAGCTCCATGTTCCAAAGAGGATAGATCCTCTCCAACAGCACATGGGTAATACTACCATCCCCTAATCCTGCCCAGCCACATCAAGGTCTCCTTACCTGCCTCCTTGTTTTAGCTTTTGGGTGTCATGAGGGAAGAGGGAGAAGAAATGCATGGAGCACAGGATAAAGAAATTCCTCTTGTAGCTTTGAGCATCCCATTGTTAATGGGATACAAATAAAATAAGGGAGGTTTCCTCTTTCCTTAGTCATTGAAGAAAGGAAGAAGCAAGGAAGAGTTACCTGTTGAGTTTTCCTTCTTCTCCCTGTACACTTGGCAGGTGAATGCATAGCGCAGGGCAATGGAAGCGAAGAACATTTCAATGCAGATGATGAAGTTCTGGTAGCCAGCAGCCACTGTCCCAGCTCCCACCTCCTTCCCATCGATGATCTGAACTTCAGGGATCACCCCACATTTCTCCAGGATTGCCAGCAGTGTTCCTGTGCGGGGGAAGGGAGGGGGATCAGTTCTGCTCCTGGACCCCTGATCCAGGTGGGGCTATGGGAGGAGAAGTGCTGGGCATCCATGGTGGGACCCACCTTGCCAGAAGGAGAGGAAGATGACGGCCTTGATGGTGATGAACTTGAGCACCGGCTCAAATGGGCGAAGCAGGTCCATGGTGGCAAAGTAGAAGAGGAAAAGGGCGTAAAGGGCCAGGCTGACAGAGAAGTTGTAGATGATAGTGATGTAGAGATATCCACTGTGGACACTGCAGGCAGAGAGAGAGAGAGAGAGCTGCTGCTCTGGGCTGTGGGGAGCAAAGCAAGGGCAACTGGGGGCAAAGAGAGATCAAATGGCGAAGTGGAGGGTGCATTGTTTTGCTTTGGGGGAGAACACAGCCCAGGAGGGGGAGTGGGACAGAGGTAGCAGCTTCTCTGTTGGTGGGACCTCTTTTTATTTATTATTTTATTTTTATTATGGCTCACAGGAGTTTTGTCCCTGTATTGTTTGGGGCAGCAAGTCTCTGGCACTTTGGGCTCACAGTGCTCTCACTGTCCATGGAGCAGCTTCCTGGGAGTCTGACAGGACACACTGGTGATGGAGCAGGGATCCATCCTCTCCCATTCACCTCCCCCAGCCCCACCCAGCATCCTCACTTGAAGTCTCCATCGTGGTACTTCCCGAACGCCTGCAGGATGATGGTGACGATTGCCATGAGGGGTTTCACAATGCAGAACTGCAGTGTGGCCTGCACAGGGGAGACACACGGTGTACCACGGGCAGCAGCACATCTCACTCCCCACATCCCACCCCTCTGCTCCAGAGACACACACACAGAGGAGAGAGCAGTGCTGTGGGGTGAAATATGAACCAGCACAAGATCTGCAGATGAGGGAGTAGAGCTTTCAGAAGGTAGCTCTCGAAAGGCAGCGCAGCCAGTCCAAGGTGGGGGACCAGAGGGCTTGGGGACTGACGGGTGACAGGATTCAGCCCACAGTGCAGTCCTGGAGAGTGAGCCAGCATCCAGGCTAACCTGGGACTGGACAGAGATGGCAATCTGAGCTCTGCAGTGGGAGGAGACCCTGACTCAGCAGTGAGTCAGAGGCAAGGACATCGAGCAGCCTTGCTGCTGGCCAGGTGCCAGTGAGCTGGTGACCTGCCTCCCTCAAAGGAAAAAAGCTTCCAAATTCAGCATCTTAAGAGAATAATGAAGCTAAGCCCCCTTGGCAGGGCACTGGGATAGGAACCTGCCACCCTGAGAGCCCTCATCTGAGGGAAGTGGAGTCTGCTCCCCATCGGGTACCCACCTGCTTGCAGAAGCGCAGGAACCCGATGGAGTAGGACATACCCTGAAGGCAGCAGGTCCCATAAAAGCAGCTGGACCTGGAAGATGAAGGCAAGGGGATGCCATTGGGGGTGCTGGGTGGGAAAAGTGGGTGGAGAAGGAACTCACAGGATGCTGGGACTTACGCAATGGGCTTCCCTCGGATCTCTGTCATGATGGTGCTCTCCCCTCCAAGGTACTCGAAGCACAGGCTCAGGAAGCTGTAAATCACAAAAGCTGCCAAGGCAAGGGCAGACATGATCAGCAGGACTGATGGAAGTCCTGGAGGAGGTTGTTTCATCTTGCATTCCTTCCTGCTCAGGTGTTTCCTCATCCAACCTGGCACTGCATCAAGTTTGGGGATGCTGGTGGGTGGGAGCCCAGTGAGAGGAGCAGCAGGTCAAATGCATCCGACCTCCAAGTGGAGTTGGATACATCACACTATGTGCATAGAGTTCATTACAGACAAAGAAGCTTTTCTGGGCGCACACAGTCTCTCCAGGGACCATCTGCATGGAAGTACCTCAAAATTGCTAAGGGGCAGCACAAATGGCTGCTGGCCAGCAAGGAGCAGGTCCTGAATAGTTTTTTTGGACATCCCCACCTCTTATTTTTTATATACTCCAAACCTGAAGTAATGCAAATACCCACACATCTTAGTTCCTGAGGAAGAGAGTTCCAAGGTACAAAACCAGCCATAATACTGACAAATTTCCCTTGCACTTCAACACACCCCAACTCCCCAATTTCTTGGGCACATGTGCCTCATGTTTTAGTGCCTCGTGTGGGCTGCACATCTACCCCACAGGCAGCCAGAAAACCTCTTCCCCAGGACTGTGGTGGTGGTGTCCCTCCAAGCCTGTGTCTGAAAGGCACCAGCTCATGTTTGCCTCTGGGGCATCCCCTCCCTGCTGCCAATAGAGAAGGAAGGGGAAAACTTCTGCATGGAGGAAGGGAGAGTGGGAAGTGAAAGCGATGAAGATTTGCCACTTCACAGTCCAAGATGCCCCAGAGACAGGTAAACACGATGAGAGCCCCACTTTGCCTTCAGCCTCCCTGCTGAGCAGATGCAGTGCTCACCTTCATAGCAGTCACGCACCGAGTCGAAGTAGACGTAGTACTGGTGGCTGCCGAGGAGGAGGAGGCTGAGCCAGGAGTCGAAGGCATAGACAGGCACAATGAAGAGAATGCGGATGATGTAGCGCTGCTCCTTGGGGATGGTGTAATTCTTGAGGTGTGTGTAGATCTGCAAAGTGCCCAGCATGTAGAGTTGTGGCTGCCACAGGTCAGGATGGGAACTAGAGGTGCCCCCAAACCCACAGGGGTGCTGTGTTAAGCCTCCTCTCTGGGGTAAGAGCTCTGCCAGCTTTTCACCACAGACCTATCACAGTGAGCACACACAACAGGCTCCGTCCCAGTCCCTGGGCCAATCCCTTGCATGAAAGCATGTGGAAATCAGGTTCCTTCCCTAGGCTGTGTGAGGAATGTGCCCTCCCCTGTGCAGCCCCATCCCAGTGCTTGGAGACAGCAGCTTTCCCCAGGGCTGCCTTCAGCAGCATAGACCCACACAGCCCCCTAAACCATGCCCACTCAGGGTATGCCTCAAGGCAGCTGGTGCTGTGCACCCCAAACACCCCAGATGCCCCACTGGGTGTTGCCTCTGGGCAGTGCCAATGCCCTGCAGCCTCTCCTGGCTCTGGCAACCACCTGGGGAGAGTGTGGGCAAAGTCCACCCTTATGACCTGCCAGCACCAGGCTCCTGACAGCAGGGATATCGCCTCTGGGCAGCAACAGGAAGAAATACTTATCCGGACCTGAGTGATTTGCAATGGGCTTGGTGGCAATCCATAGCTTTGCTCTAACCCTGTTTGTCAACCCCTGTTCTGAGCCCCGTCTCTGCTGCAGCCCATACCTGGTGAAAGGTGACAATGAGTGCTGACCACACGAAGATGCCAGAGATGACCTGTGCCGCTGTCGTGGTCAGGAAAAGCTGCTGGCCATCCTCGGAGTTGTTGTGGGCAGCCGTGAGCAGGGCAACAGCTGAGAATGGGGGGGCTGAGGCCAGCCTGGCTGCTGTGCCAGGTGCCACGGGAGAGGGCACAGCACGTGTGGCATTACTCATCTGCAGGGAGGGAGAAGGAAGGGGAGTGGTGCAGGAAGGCAGGAGCGAGGTAAGCTGGTGACAGGGAAGGTCCCTGTCCAGATTTCCCAGCCCACACAGCATGTACAAACCTCATGTAAGGTTTATCTCCTCCCCAGGGTTTTTCCAGGGTGTCCCTCGCCCAAACCAACCCCTTTGCCATGATTTGGTCTGCTTCTCCCAGCAGGAAAATGCAAATATCCTTCAAAAGCAGACCCTCTTTTCCCTGAGGAGGTCTGTGCAGTTCCCATGTCTCCCAAAAGACACACTTCTCCTTCCCAGCTTTGCTCCTTGCTTTCTCAGGAATCACTCCCACTTGAAAGGGAACGATCTGTGCATACTTGAACCCCTGTAAGGTCACATTTGTGGCTCAGGACGCTTTTCCGTCAGAAACCAGAGACTTAAGGGTTAAACCAATCCCTCACCCAGGATAATAAAGGGTCCCTTACCAACAAACCATTAGGACACTTGTGTTGTCTTCCTTGAGAGCCCAGAAAACACCAGGTCCCCCCCCAAATTTGGTTCCTTTCATCATGTGTGGCCTGCTTGGGGCAAAGCCAGGGGCTGCCCAAGAAACCAGACATTTGGTGTCACCCACATTCTTCATCCAGCTATTTCGGGATTGTGGGGGTGTCACGGTGCCAGTAGTGCCAACCCCGAGACCTGAAGGACAGCCAGCGGTCCCTCCTGCACCCAAATTAAGCACAAGGCAGCAAGCCTGCCATGCCAGAGGCAGGGCTGCTGCCCTTTGGGGATGCTGGAGTGCTATGGCATGTCCCTGCTTGATGTGTGCTCCTCAAAGCCGGCTGCCCCAAGGCACTGAGCATTCCTGGTGCAGAGGGTGGCTGGGCATATGGACACCGTGTACCCTGCGGCTCCTGACAGCAAGGGCCAACCTAATAATAAGCAATTATTTATAGGGCAGCTTCATATCTCAAGGCCAACAGATGATAAACTGCCATGTTTGGGTTCACTTTCTGCTAATCTATGGAAAGCTGCTTTTTCCTCAAGTATAACAATAGCGGTTTAAAAAACTGACAACCTGCTAGCTGAACTCTACCAATATAGATGCTTCTCAGTTCATTGTTAATAAACAAATATTTTAGCTGCTGGGTAACTATCGCCTGGGGTAAAACCGTAAGCATGAACTGGAGAGAAGCATAAAAATATCTGCCATAGATAAGAGTGGTAAGGAATGACCAATTAAACACTGAAAACAAACCAAAGCAAGAGCTGACCCTGCGGCTCCCCGTTCTGCCCTCTCACCGAACCCCAACCTCACAGGAGAGCAAACTCAGCTGGTGCCAGATCAACAGCCCTAAAAATACCTTTCCCCGGCTCCGCCTGGCAGCAGTGGTGTGTAAGCGGAGATGCCCGGGCGGCAGCTGGCGAGGCCCCAGGAGCTCACCCCGGAGTACCCGCACCGCCAGCGGGGCCGACAGTGTTACACAGCAGCAGGGAACCGTGTTCTTCCTCCCTGCCACCGTCCTGCGGACCCCGGCCAGCAGGAAAGAGGATCCCGGGAAAGCCGGGGCGGGATCTGGTCTTTGGACAGACTTGGATGCTGCCGGACCTGCCTTGTAAACATTAACAGGAGGACGGAGATAGCTGGTGGCACGGGGAGGGAGATGAGAGTCTGGCTCTGCCCCGTTCCCCAATCACTCCTCACTCTTTCTGGAGCCTGCCCTGCTGCTGGCTGGGGCTAAATGACTGGATTTGGCCATGCTTCGCCTCTGCCAGAGCATCACGACAGAGCAGGATGGAAGCTCACTCTTTCTAGCTGTGTTTTTTCTAGTCACTTTTCTAGTAATCCAGCTTAGTCCCCAAGACATGGCAGAGAGCTGTGCTCTTCACTAGATCCATTTAATCTGTTTTCAACCTAGTGCTGTGCCATAAATGCTTGGCCCAAGACATCCCATCTCCTATCAACTTTCCCAGCCATCGCGGTGTGAGCACGGTGGCATCAACAGCCAGTCCTGGCAGCCTCCCTGACATTGTCACACTCTGAACATGGCAGAGCAAGTCATTAAAAGCGAAAGCCTCGGTGCCGCTCGGAGACAGGGCTCCCAGCTCCACAGGTAATTAGATCCCGGCCATGCAAGGTAGTCAGGCTTTTCAATGCAGTTAGAGAGCCATTTGCTTCCAAAACAAAGGCAGCAAGGAGACACCGGGAATAATACCAGCTGCAAATTTCAGCTCCTCCATGGGACTGAGCCATATCCAATCTGTCTGTTTTCAGACACCTTGCAGGTACCTGCCATACTGTGTGTACCTGTTACACACTCCCTGGGATATTAGAGATGCTAAGTGAGAACTGAGAAGATAAACTGAGCAGTGAAGCTTGTGTTCAGGCAGGCCACCTGCAAATGGGGTTTTTCACCTTGTCAGGGATTCCCCTCCATCTGCAGGCTGCCAGAGCTCAGAATCCCGGCTCGCATCCCTCCCTGTGTCCTGCAGCACCTAGGAAAAGTCCCCATCTCAGCGGCAGCCTCTTGTGGGATGAAGCAAGTCAGAAGGGAAGGGAAGCATCTCCCCAGCAGTGCCTCAGTTCCCTGATCCACATCCCGGGGAGGGGAGCATCCATGCTTAGCCTCACCAGAGCAGGAGACATGCCTTTCCCCCTGATTGCTTTCAGATAAGGTCAGGACACTTGGGTTATTTATGGGACCAGCCTCTCCACACCACCATCAGGCCACTCAGGAGGAAGGACCTACAGCACACAGCTACAAATCGCGGCAGGGCAGCATCGAGCCCTCCTTGAAGCCCATCTGGAGGAGTGGATGACGCAGGCACAGAGCTCTTAGAGGAGGCTCTGCCCTCCCAGCGACTCCCACAGGTGCTCAGAACCAATGGCTGGGTCAACGCTTATTTTTGGGGTTTCCCCCAGCTGTTGTGCACCCCCCAGGGCCCCACTCACCCTTTGGGGCTCCTCCGGGAGGGAATCTGGCTGCCGTGCACCTGCCTCTGCATCCCCCGTGCCCTCCTCCACCTGCACCGCTGGAGACTCCTCCTCCGGCCACCCTCCCAGCCCTGCCCGCCTGCTGGCCGCGGGCCCTGCCACTGCCCCAGTTACGCTGGCTGCTCCCCGGGTCTCACCAGTGTCCCACTCTCCCTGTCAGCACCCCACTTTTCCCACCAGCGTCCCACTCTCCCTGCCAGCCCCCCACTGGCCCTTGCAGTGCCCCGGGCCCCGCCGGAGCCCCGCTTACCTTACCAGCGCGCCCTGGCTGTGCCCGGCTCACCCTGCCAGCGCCCTCCCTGCGCCCCGGGCCCCGCGGGAGCTGGAGCAGCAGGTCGGGCTTTGTCTCCCGCAGAAAAGCTACCCAACTTACCTTTCCAGTCCGCCGCGCTCGGCACCCACGCCCGGAAAGCAAACACGGATGGAAAACCGCGGTGCTGCCCGACGCCGCTGCCCCCCACCCAGCACACGTCCTGCGGCCGACGGCAAGAGCTCCGCCGGGGTGGCAGAGGCAGCTTTCCCAGCAATTGGGAATTAATCCCTACCTGGAGGAGAGCGATGACTAAAAGGCAGGCAGCTGGTGGAACCTCGTGCCTGTTGTTTGGGCAGGCCTTCCCTTTGGTTTACTGCGCAGCAGAGAGGAGCAAAGTCGAAGGACCAATTGCTCGTGCTCTAATTTATCGCACGTGGAAAAGCAGCAAGGTAAGTCTGTCCTGGCTCCGAGCATTAAATCAGAGAGGTTTCCACATCCTTTCCTCACCCACCGCCCCGTGCAGACCTGGTGGCACATACACAGCCAGGAAATGAAGATGCTTAACTTGTGCCTGGCTTTTAGGCAGTAACACTCAGCTCTTTGGGGCACAGCAGTGGTATGCCACTGTATCACCACAGTGGAAGATGCAATTTCCATCCAATTTGCTAATTCACGTATGTCTTCTACAAGCTGCTGGAGCTCTGGACCAGTAAGAGCACCAGTTTTGTGTCAGGAGAGAATCCCTACTAGCAAACCAAGATTGACAATAACAAATTCCACATGCTTCTCTCAGCCTTCCTTGACAAAAAAAGGGAAGTGTAGAAGAGGAAAAATTTATAGTTCTGACAGATGCGAATCTTTGATTCTTGGAAGCACAGTTTGGAAAATTATTTTTAGATGAAGTTTCTTGTCAAGGGCAGCTGGAAGCCTGCAGTGTTTGAATGTATTTTTAAAAAAGAGTTTCATTTCTCATAATCCCTTTAAATGCTGTAAATAACCCTTACTTCAGAGAAAAGAGTCCTTTCGAAATCCATTTTCTGCTTTTCTACTTCTAGGGTATTTTTTAGCAACAGAAAAGACCTGGCAGCTGGATCACCATGGGGCAGGCACCAGCTCTGCGCTTATTCTGCTGTACCAACTGGTCTTAGCACAACTCCTCCCTGCCCAGACTCCAAGACCTGGCCTCCGTCTGTGCTGTCAAGTTCATAAGTGACAAAAGTGTCTAACAGCTCACTTAAAAATTTACTACTTGTTCTTGTTTATTACAAGAGGTAAAAACAAATGTGCTTTCCAAGCAAAAGGCAAGTTTGGCTATTAATCTTTGAATCAGCTCATACAACTTATTCTGACACTTTTTTGTAAATTACTTGGCAGAAACAACCCTGTGTAACCCCTCAAACCCTCTGTCCCCACATCTCCAAGGCAGATGCTCACCACAGGTGATCAGCCTATGGATGTTGTTTCTCCCATGTGTTGGTAACACGTAATCCATTGGCAGAGATTATTTTCTTACAACTATTTTGGGTTCCTGTCTTCCACCCTGACATCAGCTTTCATGAAATTTGCCGAGCATCGTTATCTGCCTCTCTTTAAAATCAGAGTGAAAGCACAAAATTAATTCAGCCTACATCCAGAAAGGAATGGACATAAGGACAAAAGCAGCCATCTAGGACTCATTTCCTTAAAAAAAGGCAAGAATATCTTTCCCATTATACAACTGTTGATTCTTTTACCAAGGCTTGTATTTCAACTAAGTGATTCTCACAGAGCAAAAAAGAAAACAGGTAAAATTTTATTTTACAATGTTTCTTTTATTCCCTCTGCACTGGGTGTTCCCCCTTTGCGGTACAGCACAGCTAGAGAGCTTGGCATCTGCTGCTCCTCAGGACACATGTGCAAAGCCAAGCCCTTTCCCAAATAAATGACCCACCCAACACGATAAAAGTAGCACTTCTCTCCTATGTTGAGACAATTGCTCTCGTCTCACCACTGTCTATATGGACCTGCAAATCTGTCCCAGTAACAAAACCCACAAACGTTCTACACAGTAGAGAAAAATTCATGAAATTCCTCAGGACGTCCAAAACCACCACAAAGACATTCCATCATTTTCATTTCTAGTCCTTTTAAATAGGTGGTGATGAGTCATGGACTCAAGATCATTTCCTTGAATCCAGATGGCACAACTTCACCACACTTGGCAACTTCGGATCACTTCTCGTAGAGCCTGTATGCCTTCCATGGTCTTGTCCTTTAAAGCCATGGCGAGGAGAACAGGTTTGTTCCCAGCTTCCTGCGACACGAATGCCACCAGGTTTTTGGCACAAACATGAACGAGGGGCTGAAAAGCAAAGGGATAGAGATGCACATTCCTACAGATGGGAGAGCCCTGCTGCAGGAGTTAGGAGAGGAAGAGTCCCGGAGTGACACAGAGAACCTGTTGATCTGGACTCGATATTTGCTGAGCAGTTCCAACGTGGTCAGCAAAGGCAAGCCATGGGATAGGGAACTTTAGAAAGCACTTTCTCAACCAGCTTAAAAGGGAAGAGTTTGGTACCAAGAGTGTGCCAGCCACCCACACTACCCTGAAACAACTTCTCTGGAGCTGTACTTGAATTGAGTACAGTACTGTCTGGAAAACTTGGAAACTCAGTATGTATAATCTTCCCTTCCATAATCCTCCCACCTGAACTATGGCACCAGTGTTAAATTATATGAAACACTGTGGATCCAAATGCCTTTATTTCCTTCACAGCCAGGTTTCTAAAGAATTTTGCAAGTACAGTTTTTTGTTTAAAAACTTGTTTTTAAGAGGGGATGCTCCACTGACAAGCTCTGGAAAAAAGCTGTTATTTTTGTAATTCCTAGAGACCCCCCAAATGGTGTTATACACACAGTTTTTGTATGTCTGGTGTTACAGACATGTTGCTTTTTATTTTAATAGAATAATGAAAACCAGAAATAAGTCATGAGGCTGAAGGAAGCAAAAAAAAGGATATAACCTTTTCCATGGGGTTTCTTTAACAAGAAAAGATCAGAACAGCAATGACTATTTTACCTGGAAGACGCCTACAACAACATCTAGTCCAACTGCCTGATCAGCTGAGAGCTGACCAGGTTAGAAAATTATTCAGAGGATTGTCCAAATGGCTCTTAAACATTGACAGGCTCAGAGCATCAACCACCTCAAGCCTGTTCCAGTGTCTGACCACCCTCTTGGTGAAGAGGTATTTTCTAATGTACAACCTCACCCAGCACAGCTTTGAACCACCCAGCTTGTCTAGGTTTCATTTACACCCACAGATGTCTATCTGTCAGAAGGATGAGATTGCTTGATTTTAGCTGCTGTTTGGAAGTGTGTAACATCCCAAAGAAGGGTGTTAACAGTGACAAACAGGAAAGCAGCAAACTAGTGAGTCTTTTCTTGAAGTTTAAAGATCAGTTAAGTTAGCTAAAATTATTTCAAAATAGAATGGAACAAAATAAACATAGCACTTCCCATTTCTAAATAAAACAAAAAATAAGCTTGGGAGTAGAGGTGGTCAGCATTAGCAGATATCAAAGCAGAGAAAGCATATCTCCCATTCAAAATGGGAATGCTATTGCTCAAGAGAAAGAACTCCACAAGGGGAAATCCTGATAGAATCAGGAACTTGTGTTGCTACATCTTTTGTAGTTAAAGCTTGCAAGTAATATGTGATAACTTCAACCCTAATGGAAAGCCTCATAATCTTGTAGCTCTGTAACTTTCTGTTTTAATGTTTGACCATGCTTTGTGAAACATATTTGCTTCTGCTTTCTCTCTAGCTTTGTGAAATGGTCGATTAAAACCTCATTTTGTTGAAGCAAAACAAATTAAACTTTATCAAGGGAAGGTGCTGGCAGGCAAACTTGGGAGTGGGCAAGTAAAGTCCATTATGGGGATGGCATAGACTGGGGATGATAGGGGTGGGAAAACAGACCTGAAAAATAAAACAAATTCGTTGGAACAGAAACCCAAAAAGGTTATCAATGGCAGCATATTTAATCTTGCAACCCTTAAATCAACAGAGCTTTATCAAACTTTCCATAAACATGCAGAAGCAACCCATATCCTGTAGGACACAAAACAACAGATCGCCAAAACGTTCATGGTTAAACTTTTATGTCCAAGAGCAGACCAGTGCACATACTTTTCTGATGAGCCCCTCTTTCCTCATTTTAAAATTAATCTTATCACTGTTCAAACACTGCTTAACTGCTGTGATTCATCAACTCCCTGGCAACTTGCACGGCCCCACCTACTATATTTCCCCCTTATCCTTGCTGCCTCTGCGCTTCGCATCCGCTCTCACCTCATCCTTGCCCAGCAGCACCTTCGTGGTGAGCGAGGGCCTGCCCACGTTGTCAGCGATGGTGTTGGGGTCCACGTAGACGATGGTGCCCATCTTGCCGTACTGTGTGACCACCACGAGGACCGAGTTGGAGAAGGCCGTGCACACCACCTCTGTCGGCACGCCGTGCACCACCGCCTCTCGCTGCTTGGACGTCACGATGGGACTCGCTTCCATCGCTTCCGACAAAGAACAAAACAACAGGATGACCAGCGTTAGATTAAAAAAGTGCGCTGCGGGCTACAAAAAGACCGAATCCTTCCCATAATTTGAAATACCCACGGTTAAGTTAATTTCAGTGCAAACCCGCACCCCTGACCGGGGGGCACTTCGCAGCCCCGCAGCGATGGCATCACTGCCCCCGCATGGCCCCGCTGCCTCTGACAGGGGCCCCACTAACGAGGGGGAAACCTCCAGCCCTACTTTCGACCCCGGCTCCACCAGGCTTTTCCTGAGAGAGAAATCGAGACAGCGAGACAGCCACCCCCCATCCCGCCGGGCCGCGGCCCTCACCGCCCCTACCCTTGCCAGCCCCGCCGCGCCGCCGCTCTCCGCCCAGGCCCGCCCCGCCGTGGCGGAAGCGGCGCCTTTCTTTTCCCTTCCCTTCCCTTCTCTTCCCTCCTCCCTCCCTCCCGCAGCCGGCGGGAGGCGATGGCGCAGGGCTGCTCTCACGGCCTGTCCCCTCCCCTTCCCTCAGAGCCGCCGCCATTACCCGCGCGCGGCACGGCGCCATCTCCGCCCCCCCCGAGCTCTCCTCACGGTCCCTCGCCGGCCCCGGGCGGAGCTGGCCCAGTCGGGCCCTTCCCCAGGGATGAACCCCTTCTCCAGGGATGAACCTCTTTCCGGGGATGTACCCCTTTCCCCGGTGCGCTGTCCATGCTCGGTTTCTCCCCATTTCACGCCGAGTTTCAGGGCAGGACCCCCCTGCGCCGTGAGGGGTTGGCATGTTGGGGGACAGGTGACTCTGGGGGCCCTAGAAGGGCTGTGAATATTTATCCCTCTGTTTCTCCACGGGATACGTTTGCTCCCACTACTGAGTGATGTTAGG